ATGTTCTGAGCCGATAAATATATTTGTTACCAACAGATTGAACCAATTAAATTGTAAAACTTGACTTGATCAAAGCTAAGAGAACACTTGTGTGGAATTACTTGCTTTTTGAGCAATGCCGAAGAGATTCATTCGGAATTGCTTGCTTTCTGAGTGATTCCGAATGAACCCATTCGGCATTGCTCAAAAAGCAAGTAATTCCGAACGGGTCCATTCGGAATTACTTGCTTTTTGAGCAATGCCGAATGAGTTCATTCGGAATTGCTCGCTTTTTGAGCGATGCCGATTGGGTTCATTCGGAATTGCTCGATTTTTGAGCAATGCCGATTGGGTGCATTCGGAATTGCTTGCTTTTTGAGCAATTCTGAACAGGTCCATTCGGAATTACTTGCTCTTGAGCATTTCCAAACGAGTTCATTCGGATTTGTGCTATTTTCTTGGCACGGCCGAAAGGATTCTTTCGGATTTGTGATGCTTTCTGGCAAAGCCGAATGGATTCGTTCGGATTTGTGATGTTTTCTGACAAATCCGAAAAGAGTCATTCGGATTTATGATGCTTTTTTGACAATGCTGAATGGATTCGTTCGGATTGGTGATGCTTTCTGGCAAAGCCGAAAAGAATCATTCGGATCTATGATGCTTTTTTGAGCGATACCGATTGTGTTCGTTCGGATTTGTGATGCTTTCTGGTAAAGCCGAAAAGAGTCATTCGGATTTATGATGCTTTCTGGCAAAGCCGAATGGATTCGTTCGGATTTGTGATGTTTTCTGACAAATTCGAAAAGAGTCATTCGGATTTATGATGTTTTCTGGCAAAGCCGAATGGATTCGTTCGGATTTGTGATGTTTTCTGACAAATCCGAAAAGAGTCATTCAGATTTATGATGTTTTCTTGACAATGCCGAATGGATTCTCGGGAGGGAAGCCTGTTGCGAGATTTATCAAGGCACGTCCTTGGCCGAGTTGAACACCTCGGGAGGGAAGCCTGTTGCGAGATTTTTCAAGGCACGTCCTTGGCCAAGATGAACAACTCGGGAGGAAAGCCTGTTGCGAGATTTATCAAGGCACGTCCTTGGCCGAGTTGAACAACTCGGGAGGGAAGCCTGTTGCGAGATTTTTCAAGGCACGTCCTTGGCCGAGTTGAACAACTTGGGAGGGAAGCCTGTTGCGAGATTTTTCAAGGCACGTCCTTGGCCGAGTTGAACAACTCGGGAGGGAAGCCTGTTGCGAGATTTTTCAAGGCACGTCCTTGGCCGAGTTGAACAACTCGGGAGGGAAGCCTGTTGCGAGATTTTTCAAGGCACGTCCTTGGCCGAGTTGAACAACTCGGGAGGGAAGCCTGTTGCGAGATTTTT